CCTAAAGCTAGGCAAAAAATATATAGGCCAAGGATGTACATTCACAACAGATAATTACTACATATCAATTGAGCTGGCAGAACATTTATTAGAAGTACCCATCTTATAGGAACCCTGAAAAAAAATAGGAAATGCATCCCCAAGGAAGTAGTAAACAAAAAATTATCTAAAAACAAAATTATTGGTATGCATAATGAAAAGGAAATAGTTGTAGCTAACTGGAAAGATAAACGGGATGTGCTTATGTTGTCTACAAAACATACAACAGAAATTACTTTTACAGGTAAAAGAAACTACAAACAAGAAGAAATTTTGAAACCTAAAATAGTTCAGACTACAATACTGGAAAAATGGGTATTGATTTATCTGATCAACATTCTAATTACTCCACTGCAGTACGAAAGTCGGTAAAATGGTATCACAAAGTTGCAATGGAGATTATATTTGGAACTACTGTTGTCAATGCACATATTATTTACAATAAGATATTTAATAAAAAACTATCTATTACTGCCTTCAAAGAGATTTTAGTGAAAAGCTTACTCAATGGTGATGAAAGTAATTAAGAACCTGCAGCTCGAAATTTGAAACAACACACATTGGAAACAGTTAGAGATGTCAACAAGAGAAACAGAAAACTAAGGAAGCATTGTGCATCCTGCTATGCTAAAAATGCAGAGTAATTTGGAAGTTGTAATGCTGATAAAGTGAGCGTAATGCCACGAGTTGCTACATATTGCACGCAGTGTCCAAGAAAACCTGCAATGTGTTCAAATTGTTTTGTAAAAATTCATAAATGAATATTATATATGTATGTAAAACTTTTATATTGATTTTTATACTTTTATACTCATTATAAATTTTTTTCTCTAAATATATATTATTTCTACTTATATACGATTTTTGTTCTGTAATATTATTTACTTTATATGTAATAAAAAGCAAATAATTAAACTAGTTTTCATTTTTTTTATTTTTTTTTTTACCTATTCACTATTTAAAAAACACTATCAAATATAAAATAGTTTTTTTATTGAAAAAACACTATGACCAGCTGGCCGTCAGACAGTTCATGAGGCCACATGACAGCTGGAGGTAGAAACCAACTTCATAGATATTCATGAGAGGCCACCACTGGCATGTTAAACAATGTCTTATGAAACCAGGATAATTTAACCTTGAGTTAAACTGCATTGTTTAGGTGACGGCAGGCAGTCGGATGGCTCTTTACAACCGTAACTAGTACAACCACTGGTGTGGCGGGTGGCAGTTAACATGTTAATACATGCTGTTTCAAATAAAACATATCTTTGTTTAAAACAAGCTGTGAATAAAGCCAGATTATTTAAATTATTGCAAAATAAGAGATACTATTGTAAATTTTTTATACTAACTAACAAGATAACAATATCGTTGTGTAATAAAAATTTTATAAAATGCAGTTGTGTTAATTGCGGTAATTAATTGTATTAATCACCATTGTACTAAAAAAATGTTGTATTTTGTAAAAATTGGATATTGTAACCATACTGTATTTATTTTTTTAAATAAACTAAAAATAAATAAAACTATATATCCTAAAACTGAGTTTGTATTCTATAAAGAAAAAAAAAATATTATATCAGTTGATTGGGAAAAATTATTGAGTTTACAATAAATGAAAATAGTATTCAATGTTTCAGAAAATATATTAAGTGGGATGTTTAAGTCAAAGAACAGACTTAACTGACGAGTTTATTTCTAAATTTGCAGGTACAGTGGTACCTCAGGATACGAAATTAATCCGTTCCGAAACTGAGATCGTATCATGAAAATGTCGTAAGGTGAATCATTTTTCCCCATACGATTACACGTAAAACCAAATAATTCGTTCCAACGCGAAAAACATACTCAAATTAAATCCAAGTAATACATTAAAAAAAATAACTGTAGTAAGAAAAACAAATGAAAAATGCGAACTAATGTAACGTCGTATGGTGAGTTTTTGTTCATATCGTGGAGCCAAAATATGTTCGAATTTCATGTCGTATCCTGAAAATTTCGTATCCTGGGGCATTCGTAACCTGAGGTACCACTGTAATTTAAACTGGGAATTAACATGGAAAAATTATATATATACTACTAGATTTATCAAAAAACATATTAGACACAAAAAATGGGATTTAATTTCAGAACATCAAGTATTAGATGATGAATTTATGGATGATTTTTCAAAATATATTAATTGGAATAAAATAGCGAAATTTCAAATTCTCCCTGATAATTTTGTTAAGAAGTATATATGTAAATTAAATATGAGAAGTTTTAAAATATCAATGATTAAAAAAAACGACACACTACGGGAGCTAAAAGATTATTTACATTGGGATTTAGTTTCTTGATATCAAATACTGAATGAAGGTTTTATTCATGATTTTTCAAAAATCACTTTTCATGGTGTTTGTTTTAAAATATCAAAAATATATTGCTGATAATCCACATAGTTTATTAGTCTATACTTCGTGATATTTGTAAAGTTGTTGATGATATGATAGAAAAATTGAAATAATTTTTGTAATTCTTATATACTGAAATTAAATACCCCAAAGTGTATCAAAAATTTGCTATATTATCTACTACTGATAATATAGCAAATTTTTCTGATATACAATTTTTTAGCAAATCACAAATACTTTCACTAAATTGGTACTTTGGCATTTTCTATTAAATTTTTATTTTGTTGATGCATTTTTCTCATATGAAATTTCCAACTGCAACACCACTTAAAAGTTTCACCACAATGTGCACAACAAAAATTATTGGGGTGCATTCAAAGATGTTGATTTAAAACAGTGCAAGACTTGTATGCTTTTGAACATATTGAACAGATGTAACTTCTTCCCGAATGAATAATGAATTGTTGCTTTTTAATACTTCCATTTCTGAAAACATTTACTACTAATCCGACACGTGGAGTGTGATTTTTAATCGTAACCTAAAAAATAAGAAGAAACTAAAATCGAATATTTCACTTTATAGTGATAAAGTTTATAAATTAATTTTAAATTCAGGATTCCTACACATCTGGAAAGTCAGGGATTTTCATTAGTGTCCAGAAAAAGTCATGGAAAGTTGGAATTTGTTTGTTGACAGTATGGCTGACCAAGTGATCTCTCTTCAGACAGCAAAAAGTATTGTGGTACAGTGCAACTTATTACACTTTCAATTTGAGGGCAGGTGTTAATAAACTGATGAATAAAAAAATGTTTGTTAACAAAGAACAAAAAATGATAAATAACTTAATATTAATTCCAGTGATATTATTTATCTCTTTTCATTTTAATAATTTTGATTGTATAACAAAACAATTTCTGATTTCTGAAACTTTTTCCCAGTTTATTAATATTTTATAAAGTTTGGAAAATTTATTAAGGGACAAATTTAATAAATTTATACTTTTGTACATGGATTATACAGAATTTTTTAATAATAATTAACCAGTTAAGTTGGAGAAGCAATAGCATATGTGCGTAGTAAGTCAAGTAAGATGTGCTTAGTAAGATGTTTTATTATGTTAATGTGAGGGTCAGGGAAAGTCAAGGAAATTAAAACAAAAATTTGAGTAGGAACCCTGTATATCCCNCATCTTAGTTTTATGTAGAGAAGACATGCCATAATTCTATCTGTCTTATTTTTATTTTAATTTTACTAATTCATCAATTATAAAAAATATATAACTGTTAGGCCGAGACTCCACTACCGTAAAAACGGACATAAAACCCCTCGCTGTAAAAGCTTTTAATCACGTGACCTATTTGCATTTGCGTCTGGATTGCGGTGGAGGTCTGGCTAACAAAGTTTTTATGGTGATGGTGATGCCCTGTGTGTCGAAAGTAAATACTTCTTTGCACGTGAATTGGTGGAAACGGAAGACAGTTGTATATGTGATATATCAATATAAAGACAACGATTATATTGTACAAGTTTTTTTTGTACTATAATTACAAATGATGTAAAAATAATATCTTTACTTTCATATATTAACTTTTATCATCATATTATTAATTAAGATAATATACAGCACTTATATCCTTTTTTTTCTTTTAAACTCTTTCCGCCCTGTGGGCACTAAGAGAGCCTCTTTTTGCAAGCCCATTATGGGTTCAGCCAGGCCCATAATGGGGCTGCCGGGTGGTGAGGGACGGGGCCCAACATATCTGAATGGACCACCCCCTGAAAAATTCCTGCGGATTTTTCAACCCATTCAGATTCGAACCCGGGTCCCCCAGAGCGGTAGGCTGCCACCTTGACTGCTCGGCCATCCAGCCACGCACTTATATGCTTAGCTTTTTTATTATTTGAAGGATTTTCCTTTGGCATTCATTATTATAAACGGGTTACCTCTTGTCATAGATACACGAATATTTTCAGATGTTTTCGATAAATTTTTCCAGATCTATTCTAGAGTAGCCACGAGGGAACACACACAAAAGTTCATTTTCCGCCATTTTTGCACCATGTCACAATGACCTAGATTTCACCGACTTCTGATTTGTGAAAGGTACTGTTTTACGGCCATATTCGCATCAAAAGTTGAACACTGCTGAACTCGCTTTTACGCTGGTTTTACGACCTGCTTGGGTGTAAAATATCAGGGTCACATGATTAAAAGCTTTTACGGCGAGGGGTTTTATGCCGTTTTTACGCTAGTGGAGTCACGGCCTTAATTAGAAAAAATAACCAGTTAAAAAGTTGGAGAAACAATAGTGTATGTGCGTAGTAAGTTGTGATGTTTTATTTTAATGTGCCATACCAAAGGAACATGAGGGTCAGAGAAAGTCACGGAGTTAAAAACAAGAATTTGAGTAGGAACCCTGTAAATTTTAAAACTATAAAAACAGAATTTAAACTTCTTAATCTTATAATGAATTTGTAAAAATTGCTATATGCTGCAAATAATGCATACTTTGTTAGAATAAAAGCTCAAAAATACATTACCACTATTAGAACAGAACAAAATCTTGCAGTTCACTGTACAAAGTTGAACATTTTTCTTTGAAAAGAATATGAATTCTCCAGATGAAAAACTTATGTCTATAAGCAGATGATATATGTATGTACAGTACTTTCTAATATTGTTTTAATTTAAAATCATGTTTTCAATAAAATTCTGTAATTTTTCATGTTACAACTATGAAAAAAAGGAAAATGTCAAAAAAAAAATGTAAGAGATTCTTATCTTAATTTAAATTTGTAGAAATTATTTCTTTAGAACATCTTTTCACATGCATCTTCCAACTCCACCTCCACCGAAAAGTTTTCTTACAATAACAACATTGAGAATTGTATGTTTTAATACAGCTTAAAACTTATATGCCTTATAACACAATGGACACACATGTTGCTTGGCAGAATGAACAACATAATGCTGCTTTATATATTGCAACTTGTTGAAATGCTTACCACAAAGATGACATATATGATATCCTTTCTTAAAATAGCCTGTAAAAAGCCAAAAATATTTTAAAATATTGAATTTTAATATAATCAATTATAATAAAAATACTTTATGTAAATAATAGCAATGAACATATCAATCAATATTGCTTAATATACATCATACGAATCTACAAACCAATCATAAAGTTAGACTAACTTAGAATGGTGAATGCAAACAAAGCACATTTGTTTAAAATTTAAATAGACATTAGATGATGTCTTAAGTGTTGTTAATATGGATGTAGATTCACGTTATTTGATAAACTGGGTACTTTATAATGTAAATAATAGCAATGAACATATCAATCAATATTGCTTAATATACATCATACGAATCTACAAACCAATCATAAAGTTAGACTAACTTAAGAATGCATCTTTTTTATATGCATCTTCCAACTCCATCTCCACCTAAATGTTTTGTCACAATAATCACACTGGAAGCTATCAGGTGCATGAACCTGGAGATGTAAATTTAATACAGCTCGTGATTTATATGCTTTGGAACATAATGGGCATACATGATCTCTGGAAGAATGTACAATGTAATGCTGCTTTAAATTTTGCATTTTTCGAAAGCATTTTCCACAAAAATGACAGGAGTATCGAGTTTCTCGATGGTAACCTAAAAAGTAAATGTGTCATGGTTATTATTTTTTTGAAAGTTATTAAAAATTTTAATTCTATATTACATAAATTTTTAAAAATACATATCAAAATGATTGATACAAAATTACTGTTAATTGTATTATCCCCTAATTATAATAAAATATGTACAATAATTAATACACATTTACATTTTCAGAAACGCTAGATTGGAGCAAATTTTCTTCAACAGAAATTCAAATTCAGTGTAGTCACGTTCAATAGATCCATTTGAAAATATCATCTTAGCAAGAATATATATATATACACATTTTAAATTAGATGTAATAAAATAAAAGTAAGCTTCAAATATCTTCANCAATAAATACATAAAAATATAAATACGACTTTTACAAAGGTAAAACATTTTTTTGTCCTTTTTGCCATTTTCGCCTCAAGAGGAACGTCGTCTCTGTAACTTTGTGAATTGTTTAAGGGCTCCTGATGGTGTTGTGAGATAAGCAGAGGGTCCGGAGTTAATCCCTTCTGACCACTTACGCTGCACAAGGTTGGTAAAACCCGATCTCATAGTCTTAGGATAGCTAGAAGGGCGAAAACAATGACTAAAGAAAGGTTTTACCTTTGTAAAAGTCGTATTTATATTTTTATGTATTTATTGAATGTAAATAACGCCGGCCATGTTTTCTATTGTTTTTACTTAGAATTTTTTTTATTCAATACTGTTATTTTATCACTTAAAATGGATGCATAAATATACTTTCTACATTTAAAATTATTTTAAAAATATTTGTTTTTGTGTATATTTGTAATGTAATTACAATATAATTCTACTTTCGCCTCTGTTTTTATTGTATTTATTGAAGATAAGTCAAGATAAAATTTAATATATGTACTGTAATTATCATATTTTGTAGATGTGTATTATAAATTTCTATGTATAAATGTTGCAAACATAAATTGATGACCAAGTTCTGTAAACAATATTGAAACAATTTCTATTTTAACAATTTAATAGTTAAATTGTTTTGAAAAAATATGCCATTTAATTTTCGAAAAGTAGCTCCAATGTCTAAGATATAGCAATAATATAGACTATGTAAATGATTATATTTAATATTCTAGTCTTATTTTTTCTATTAGTACTGTATTATAATTTGATTTTTCTTAATTTTTTTTACTTGTATTCTCAATTGTAACATGTAGCGTTTATTTTAAATTAGATTTCCAAATGGCTTCAACATCAAAGAAGATAAGAGAAACAGAAATATCAACGTATTCAGATGAGCTGTCAGATTCAGACTCATTTATTGAGTCTGACAGCGATCTAAGTATTGTTGACATACCAGAAATTTATTCTCATTCTGAAAACTCTGATTCTGATACCGAAGTTGAAGCCAATTCCAATGCTACAAGAACCTGCTCTCGTCAGGTTTCTCCTAATTCCAATGATGCTCCTAATTCCAATGACGAGTTGGAAGATGAGGGATACCTTGAGGTTTTGCCACCAGAACAATCTCTCTCTGACCCTTTCCCTTTCCTGGAACTATCTGGCCCCAAAAACATGCCTTCAGCTGACTCTCAGCCAATCGATTATGTTAACCTCTTTTTCACTATGTCTTTGTTTTCTCTTATGGTGGTGGAATCGAACAGGTATGCCAAGCAAGTGATAAATGGCATGGGGAGGAATGTGCCCCAATGTTTCCAGAAGTGGAAGAGTATTACTATTAATGAAATAAAAGGGTTTTTGGCTTGCATTATTGCTATGGGAATGAATCCAAAATGTTCAATCGCATCATACTGGACCACTTCTGGGCCTCTGGAAACTCCGTGGTTCAGGGATACGTTTTCGAAGCACCGCTTTTCTCACTTGCTACGATTCTTCCATCTTGTAGATAATAGTAAGTTGCCTGGCCCAGGGGAATCAGGTTATGATCCAAGAGCAAAATTTCAACCTTTGGAGGATCATGCGAATAGGGTGTTCAGACAATATTACATTCCTCATAAGGAAATAAGCGTCAATGAAATATTGGTAGGTACCAAAAACCATACCAGCCCTTGTCAGTATGTACTCAATACAAAATGGGAAATCAAAACTTGGATGCTGTGTGACTCCATTTCACACTACTGCCTGGGCTTTTTCACTTACCGAGGGGCCAAGTCCCAGGTGGAGAAGCACAGTGTCTCAAAGTTTGGTTTAGAATACACTATTGTCAGGCGATTACTGGATATTGGTAATTATAACAACAAGGGGTACCATGTTTTCATTGACAATTATTTGACGTCAGTACACCTTATTCGCCACCTGTATTCCCAGGGAACTTACATCACGGGAATGGTGCGGAGGAATAAGAAGCAATTACCGCCACAGTTTAGAAGCAAATTTTCTGTAGGCCAGACCTTGTATTTCAGGTCTGGACCTATATTGGTATGCGGCTTTCGGGAAAAAACATCAGAAAAAAAACCTGTTCTTCTTTTATCCAGCCATGCAGGGGCACGCGACGATCAAATTGTTAAGCACAGGGTGGCTATATCAAAGCCACAAGTAGTAGTATCCTACAATAAATTTATGGGGGGAGTTGATGTATCTGACCAGATGTTATATGCATATTTGGATGAAAGGAGGAACATAAAATATTGGAAGAAGGTAGCTTTCAACATCATAGCCAGGATGGTGTTGAATGCCTATCTTCTTTATAAGGAGAATTCCGAAAGCCAAGGCAAAGTTTTGTCTCGCCATGCCTTCAACTTAGCAGTAATTGACAGCCTGGCGAGAGAATGTAGGAAGGAGCGGAAGGAAGCTCTATGTCCCTCAGATCCCCGAGGACCAGTAGGACTTAGGAAGCTACCAGGCAGAACGGCATACCGCTGCATCGTGTGCAGCACTTCTAAACACAAGAAGACGACGACAAAAGCCTGCACACGATGTGGCAAAGGTGTGCATGCTGACTGCCTGGTAAAACATCACTGCTAGCACTAAAGGTTTGTGCACAAATTGATATAATTCTATTTGTTTTATATGCATAAATTTTGCAAAATGTACAAAATAATATTCTCTTTCTTACAGATCACATTTCTTTTTTTTTTTTTTAATTATTGCTTTTTTCTGAAGTACTGTAAGGTCTCGTTTGATGCAGTGGATACGTTCTACAGAAAAGCGCATATAAAAAATTCGCATAAAAAAAGACTTTACTTGCCTTGAAAAAGTAGGGATACGTTCCGTAATTTTCTAAAATCGCATAAAACCAAAACAACAAGTTAAAATTAATTTAAAACCGCATAAAAAAGTTTGCAGAAATTAAAAGAAATAGGCTGCTTAATAAATTACTTCGAATATCTGAAAGAAATTCATATAAAAGCTTAAAATAAACTTGTATTCAAACTTAATTCAGTTTATTTTATTGAAAAGTAATACAAGGGGAATTCCCGAATTGCAAAAGCTCACTCTAAAAACAAATCACTGACATCTGGATGTAAAGAGTTAATTAATTAATTAACCTTAGTTCCTCGCCCAAGTTAACTCGAGCAGGTTACATAGCGTTACATAAAACACGGTCCTTAAGGCCATTTAAAAAATTTTTTTTTTTTGAATTTTTGGAATGTTTTTTAAGTCTCCAAATTTTTTAAAAATATACGGCCAGCTAGCGTTCACCCTACTTTAAACCCTTGTCCTCCCGCAACGTCTATGAGAATGCCCCGGGAAATCCAACTCCAGCTGTGTTCAAGGTCATCCAGATGTGTAAACAATGACTCATCGGTGTTAAATTTCACAGAAGGCCGAGACAAAGAAAGTTAAACTTTTAAGCTTTTTCTTCAAAATTAATGCATTTGTTTCGTTTTTTTTTTTTTCAGTTTTAAGTATTTTTTATGTTTAATTACATTTACATCAAAAATTGCTAGGAACTAAAACGATTAAGGTAGATCTAGTTGTCCTGTACATCCATAAACGTTATATGTCAGTGGAACAAATGAAGTGAGCTTTGAGCGTTCCACAATTTTTGGAGACTGTCTATACGCGGGCTTCCTAAACAAGCCTATGTGTATGTTTGTCCAAGAAATTTTTGGATGAAATACGAACCGCACAACTTCAAAATCGCATAAAAATAATCTGCATAAAAAGAGACCTTACAGTATTGTGCTAGCAGACAAGGTAGGCTGTGCATAGTTTGAAACAATCTCGTATAATTCTTATCAGAGTTTTATATTCATGATTCTTGCAAAATGTACAAAGCGATATTTTCTCTTACAGATTTGGCCTGGCCCTGGGGAGATGTTTCTGCTCCTTCTTACATTTTCTACAGTTTGTATATACAGGGTCTTTATAATTAAAGTTCCACTTTGAAATGGCCATAAAAGAAAAACTACTGACAAAATATTATCAAACTTGGTAATAGTTTATAAGGACCTACCAGTGACCAAGCAGTCTTCAACCCCTGAACACTGGGAGTTCAGTCATGGGCTCGTGCCTCGCTCGGACAGACTAGCCACATGGAGTTTTCTGGGTTTTCTCTATGTCTGTAACGCCTAAATAAGGGCCAGTTTCCCTTAAAAAGACCTTCTGGGAAGGCATCCCCCTAGACAGATCGCCCAAGTGTTGCATTGCCATAACTTAACAAACAACAACAACAATAGTTTACAAGAAGTCATGGGATTTTATATGTGATTTTATTTTCTGCAAAAAAAAAATTCAAAAACTCACCACCAGCAGGGAATAGCACTGTATACAATATAGTTAAATGAAATAAGACATGAAGACATCGGTTGAAAATGTTTTTTAATTGTTTCTAATATGAAACTGTTTGTGGGATTATGCAAAATCGCAATAGCTTGTAAATGGTTTACGGCAAGAGGAAAGTAAATTAGAATTATGCAAATGCGCTTTACACATCAGTTGATTTTTCAGCTATAAAATTGAGCCTCCTTGTGAGAGCTCTCATTGTTATGAGTCGACGATGTCTGTAACCATGCAAGACTTTACTTTTCTCGTTAAGTGTTGTTATGAATGCGATAGCAATGAACGGCATGCTTTGCAATGGTATCATACCATAAGATGAATATGCCAAGGGCCAATGACACTGCAGGGTTTGAGGAAAATGATGGCAAAGTTTAAAGCCACAGGTTTGTTATCTGTTGCACCTGGATGGGGAAGGAAGTCTGTTTCTGTGGAAACCAAGGAGGTTGTTGCATTAGCAGTAGAAGTAGTATATAAATACCGATTCTGGCTCACTAAAATCTTGATCCAAAATTGTAAATGTTGTACAATCAGAAAATTTCAAATATTGTAAAAAAAATCATTCAAAATCAAGTAAAACTTAGAAAATTTCAAAATAATTTAAAATCAGAAAATCAAGCAAAAATAAAAAAAAACTCAGTAGCCTCTAAAATGATGATTAATTAACAAACTCAACGATATGTGTTTTATTTTTATTTCCACAATCTTCCATTTCTGGCTCACTAAAATGCACACATTTAAAATATGAATGATTTACAATCACAAAATTTCAAATATCATGAAAAATCGGAAAATTTCAAAATTATGAAAAATCATAAAATCAAGCAAAACTAAAAAACCAGCCTCATTTACGCCTAATAATAAATTTACCAAATTCATCAATATGTAAAAATGTACCATGAGGTGTGAATGACATAATTTTATCAAGTAAAAATTCAGTATAATTTAAAAACTTTGAAATACTATACAGTCGACCCCCTATAACGTACGTTCCTATAACGGAAATTCCTATAACGTAGCGAAAAAATTGTAGCAACTTTCGTATAACGTACCTCCTATAACGTCGTTTCGCGACAAGATTGATAGAGTCTGGACCAATAGTGGATGAGCAGCCGAACTACTTTCCTCCGACCCTGCGCCACGCTACGGAGCGGCTAAATTGAGTTTGCTATCGTCTGTTTAGTATTATATATAAATTATATATAAATTAGGTACTGTACATATAATTATATATTAATTATATATAAATTAGGTACTGTATATATAATTATATATTAACTTAATTTATTGTAATTTTATTATAATTATATATATGCTTTCTGCCGCCTGGCAACACGCTACGAAGATTTTAGGCTAGTAAGTTGAGTTTATTATCGTCTGTACAGTATGTAAATTAGGTACCGTAAGTCTAATACAGCACTAATTTTATACATTTCTTGTGAAAGAAACACTTCTTATTCAACGTCCATAAAAATTATTTATATTAATGATGTCTCCAAAGGTCAAGTTATTTTTATGCGAAAAATTCCGACTCCGACTCTTCCTTACCATCTGACTCCGACTTCAGCTAAAACACCAAAACTCCACAACTCACTCCGACTCCACAGCCCTGGTATATATGAAAAATCATTCAAAATCAATTGAAAATAAAAAAATCTTGAAAATCAAGTAAAAATTAAAAAAAATGATGATTAATTAACAAACTCAACGATATGTGCTTTATTAGCATTCCCACAATCTTTCATACCTCTGTATACAAATTTTAAATCACTCATGTTGTTTAAATCTTTTATACGCTTATCCATTATTTTTTTATTGAATCAATCTGGTAGATAAACTTGAAATTCATTCCATTCAGTGTCCATGACTACTAATTTTTTTATCACCGTAGCGAGTGGATACTGATTTAACATAACGAATTGGATATTCATAATCAATTTGCAACTCGTTTAATTTCTTTGTTGGAGTATTTTGAAGTTTACCAATATTGTTTAGTTTATTCAGAGTCTCCATTTATATAGGAAAAATTTCTTGCTAACAATGAAACAACTATATTTTTATAATTATTTTCAATAAATTCGTCGGAGAACCTTTCCTTTAAAATAACATCACACCAATCAATTTTATTTTTGTGTTTTATAATAAAATCTTTGGATAATTCTTGATATTTAGCAACTATTTTCCAGTCTAATACATTTAATTGATATAAGTCTTCAATTAATTGTTCCAATATGGTTTGATATCTTATAAGTGAATTTATATTTAATTTTAGAGCATTTTTCCTAATAATTTTTAAATTTTGAAATTGAGATATAGCATCCCAATCTACTTTATTTGCTTATTCAAGAATAAATTCCGAAGATAATGTTTGATGTGTAGAGATGAGTTTTCATTAACCTTATCATCATATTGTATTATAAAATTTTCAGAGAGACTTTGGTGTTCTGATATCTTTTTCCAGTTAACTCTTATCTTTAAATTAATTAATAAAAAATTCAGACAATTTTTGTGTATGAGATATTGAATCCCAATTAACTTTATCTGTAAATTCTCTTATGAAACATTCTGATAACTTTTGAAATATTGAAATCAAATCCCAATTAACTTCATCTTTCAATTCTCTTATTAGATCTTCTGTTAAATTCTCTCATTTAGAAAAATTATCCCAATCAATAGCCCTCTTTATTCTAGAGTCCATTTATATAAGAAAAAATTTATGATTTAATGCAATTGTATGAATACCATCTTCTAATATATGCCTCTTATCATCATGTGGTGATAATGCTAACTTGTTTACCTTCATAGAATAAAGTTTGTGCTTTTTACTTCTAATTAGATTCATTGTTCTATATTGCTCCCTTTTATTAAACAAACAGTCTTTATAATCCTCAAATGATATTCTATTCTTAACAACACATTTCTTAATGCCTTTGGCTTTCTTTTCTTCTTTATTCTCAACTTTCAAAGCATACATTTTTGCTCTTAATCCCACAAATTCAACCATTATTTTACCTTTATGCTTCTAACACAATAAAGTGCTATAAATTAAGACACTTGGCGGGTTGTCTCATCTTTATTTAACTAAATAAAGATGAGACAACCCGCCAAGTGTCTTAATTTATAGCACTTTATTGTGTTAGAAGCATAAACGAATTGCAAAGCACGGTTTCATATCATCAAAATCATTATTTTACCATTATTTTTATCCTTCATTTTACCTAACACCTTATTAACTCTCGGTATGCCATATTGATTATTCTCAGGGTAATTGGATGTATCAAAGTAATCTATCATTCCCTTCATATCTTGATAGATATCATCTGTTTTTATATCATATAATATAACAGTTTTATCTTATTGCCTTATTTTGGTTTCATCACATTATAATGAAAATCATACATTAAATGCTTTGAAAGATCTAATATGCTCATTCCCATATATATAGGTTTATTGAATTTTATTTTTGTTTTATTCATGTGAATGGCTGAAAGATTTTCAGCAAATATAGTTCTATCTTTGAAATTAGGTTTAGAAATCAGTTTCTCAACCTTTTTAGCATCACAACATAACTTGATATCAACTCTCTCCTTATGTTTTCCATTGTCTTTCCAAATACAGAGTTATTCATCAGCTTATAAAAATCTTTTTCGAAATCATTTTTGGCATTTGTTCTCATCTTTGTATTCAGGTCTATATATTTCTTCAACCATTTCGATTGTTTAAATTCTAAAACTATATGTACCTTTCTAACCTTCAATTCCATCTCCTGACACTTTATTAGATTTCTGTAATGGATTACGTTATTATTGTTATTACATGCTGTTATTAACTTTGATTGATTTGAACTATCCTGAATTCTGTTCTCTGGAGCTAAAGGTATATCAGAATGATAATCATGTAATTCTTTGGGATATTTTAGACCAACTTCTAAAATGTAACCAGTTTCTGTGTCATGTGTTGTCATCTCTTTTACATTACACCATTTAAATTTTCCATATGGTAAATATTGTCTCATGGCCTATCCATATAAGTTATTAGCATCTAAATACATTAAATAATTCGATTCTTTCATTTCATCATAATCTTTCATATATTTATTATTTGCATTACTATATCTGTTACAACATTGGGAGATTTCACCTCTGATTCCTTTCTCTAGCATTTAAATCATATCATAATCACTAAATAAATCTAATTTAACTTCTGTTGTTTTTAACATAGCATCCCATGATAATCCAGGTGCTGTGTACTACCATGCTGGGTCCAATTTATACGTTTTAATGCAAACGTCTCTGAAATTCTCAAATATATCAGACAATATTAGAACGTCTGTTTTCACATACAAATCAGAATATTCTCCCATATTTCTAATATTAAATTCTTCCCATACTTTTATAGCATGACTATATTCCTGATCTGATATATCAGTTTTGTTCAATTCACTATAAAATGCCTGTGTTTGGTGGTAATCACATTTTGTTGCATTTTAATTTGTTGTCCATATAATCATAAGGATAAACACTCTTTCTGATAACAAGATCTAATTTGTTTTCGGGAAAATATCTCATTGTATTTCTAAATTGTTCTTTTTGAAGATTACTAGATAATTTGTCTATGCTACTTGCCATAAATTTAAAAGAGTCAACCAGTCTTAATTTTATATTTCCAACACTTCTACTAAATGAAATATATCTTTCTTCATTATTTGGGATTAGATAAATTTTATTGTTATCATATCCAAGTTCTTTTACAAACAAATGTGCATCGTATCCACTTAGGTTGTGTATAAATACAGGAATAAATGATTGATTCTTATAATTTAAATTACAGCTTTCGTGTTCAGGACTTCTATATTTTCTAGTTAAATGATCATGATCTTTAACTTTCTTTTCATCTCTTTCAATAATCTTATTACATAAATGANGTTTTCAAATATTTTTTGCTCACCAGGTGTTAATTAATGGATCCATGGTCTTAACGTTTTTATAAATTTTCTCTATTTCTTCAGCCTCTTTCTTTATCATCTGCACAAATTCCTTTGGAGCATTCGGTCCTCTATAAACAACAGGTGGTTTGTATGCACCATGAGCATATTTTACATAGTAACAGAAACTCATGGGTTCGTGTTTCTGATAGGCCACTGTATATGATTTTTCGGGATCTGGCTGACACGTATGCATTTTTCTTGTTAAGCATTAAAAATCTGCATAGATGACAAATGGGACTTTTAAAGAGCGATTAAAGTTTTTAAATTCAATTTGCCCACATAAAGGCATTTCAATTTTCACAGGATTATTTGTTTTGCAATAATTTTCATGACTTTTCAATTTATCTTCTGAATAAAAGTGCATTAAACATCTATCACACAAATAAATCTTATGTCCAAATGAAATAAGCTGGCTTCCAATTAACCGAGATAAATTCTTTATCAAGCAATAATATGATTTCTCTCCTTTAACATAGAACAAATTAACATATTTATCTAACTTCTTTTCAGTTATTCTTAATGGATAAATTTCTAAATCATTCTCATTAAAATATGCATTAAAAGTTATCTCATAACTATATACATTAACAGATATGTTGTTTTTCTTTTCATATTTTTTAATATCATGTATAGCAATGGGAAACTTAATTCCATTAAAATCTAACTCTTGCTCATACTCTTTATATTTTGCAACTTTCTCAGCATTTTTAGAAACTGTATGTATGTAAGCTAACACAGACCATTTAAAACATTCCAGATCTTTATTCTTAATGTTTAAAACAGTTTTTTATCTCTGATTACTTTAGGTAAATCTATATAGGATGCTCCTCTTAATGGAACATACTTATTAATTCTCAGCTCTAAATTAAAATTTGCAGTCAAAGCCCATCCTGATCCTTTTGCTTCAAATTCATCCATTTCTTTTAATAACTTCATTGTAATATTCATCTACATTATCTGATTTCAATATTACTTTACTTTCAGTCTTGAAGGAAAACTGTTGATATTCCTCCTGTCTTTTATATTCACAGAATAGTTTAAAGTTAATTTTCAAGTTTTATCTTTTAATATTTCTTATATTTTGTTCACAACCAACTCTCTTACATCTTCTAGAAAATTAATAGGAATGATATAACCAGTAAATATTATTTATCAAAAATGTTTTTAATCTGCTTTCATACACTGTTTCAACCTCTTGAATAACTTGATTATTATATAATGCTTCCTTATGTTCTCTCTTTTCAATGTGGAGTTTCTTAAAGGACGGCTTATAATATATTCCACAAATTTCACATTTTATCTGTTTTTCTTTAATTTTTTTAGGTTTTTCAAAAATACTCTTATGAAATCTAAACATCTGTCAAGAATGAAGAACAATTATTTGGTAAAGCAAAATATGAAAAAAGTCTTTCAGAATTTCATATAACCAGTTACAGAGAAATTAGAGGTTCCTATACAAGATGTTAGACAAGATTTAAAAGCTATTGAAGATGCTATTCATAATATAACAATTCCTTCTACCATTGATTCGTCATTTCCTCAACTTCCTGAAGTTGAATCAACTTTAGTCGAATCTACACCAAAAAAGAAGTACAGATATACCACTGAAAACTTAGACGAAGGATTAGATGCAAAATAGCTTTATTATGCCATCACAATTAGTTAATAAACCCAATGGAATAGATGAAATGCTCGAAAAAGCTGAAAGAAGAACAAAATCATTAGGTTCGTTTAAAGCAAAAGTGAACAGAAAATTAAAGAAATCTACAGATGATTTTCAAAGAAAAGCATTAGAAGAGGAGTTAAATTTATACCAGTCAGATTTAGATTTATTTAAACACTATAGAGAAAAATTAAAAGTTTTAAAGTCTGCTTCAGAATCATTTAAAATTAGTGGAGAAGGATTAGTTAGTGAATTAGATAAATTAACTGATAAGCTGTTAAGTGGAGACAAAAAAGTATATAATAAAATTGTTGAACTTCTAGATCTGTTATTAATTAAAATTCGAGAGAAATAACAGCTGATACAATGAAAGAATATTATTCAAAATTTTTATCTAAATAAATGGGTAATTATATTAAGACCAGAATTTATCTCAGCAAATCTCAAAAAAATAGAAATAAATTGAAATCAGCTTTTAAGAATGATGAAGAAGTATATTTACAAATAGATAAATCTAAACCTCCTAATCATGATATGTTTTTAACAAAAACTCAAATAAAAAATATTAATGAAGGAAAGAGAATAATAATAAGTAGAACGCAATTAAAAAAGAATGGAGGCTTCTTACCATTTTTGGTTAAATTCCAGATACGTATACCGTCATGGCGGCTCATTTCTGATTCCAGCAAACAGTGGGGACGCACGTTCTAACCTAACGTAACCTATTCTAATAATTTGGTTGGTAATAATTATGGTAATTTATTAGAATAGGTTAGGTTAGGTTAGAATGTGCGTCCCCACTGTTTTCTTTCTTTTGTTTGCTGGAATTAGAGATGAGCCGCCATGACGGTACACGCATCTGGACTTTAACCCCATTTTTAATTCCTATTTTTACTACTTTGGCTACAGGAACCTTATCGAGAGCTGCAGGATGGGGAGTTAAAAAAAAACTTTAGATAAAGTAACTGGATCAGGATGTAATAATAAAAAAAAACGTGGAGGCCGCCTTCTTTCCCAAGGCCCTTTAGGTCCAATATGGCCAAATTTCAAATTAGGGAAAGGAGTGATTCAGAATTGGAAATATCCAATGAGACGATAAATGACAATATAAAAAACGAAAAAGGTTTTAGAGGTGTGTTTATGGTTGATCTATTACCGAAAACAATTAGAAAATTTGAAAACGGTATAATTAATTTAGATATTTCAACTGGAGATGGTACACACTGGGTTTGTTATTATAATGATCCTAAATATCCTTTCGTGGAATTCATTGATCTTTTTGGTGAATATAAGTTAAAAAATGTAAGATTGAAAAAAGATAATTCCAAAAGAAATCATAAAATATTTAAAAACATATAAAAAAGAAATAAGATATAACTTTAGTTTTCTTCAGAATCCTACTTCTGTTAGATGCGGTTACTATTGCATGAAATACATTGTAGAAAGAAATACAGTCGACCCCCCATAACAGGGTAGATACGTTCCGTTCTTTATGAAATTGATGTTCTAAGAGTCCTTGAGTACATGAGCCAATCACAGTCTGGCACATATGCAGTTTACGGACTACTGCTGTTTGAAAGGTTTTCTTCCATAAAATTAATCGATTCTAGACTAATTCGGCTCAACATTTCCAAAATACGTATAATTTTTCGGGAATAATCCATATAAACTATGCTATAAACAAAAAATTGTAGGATTACATACCGAGTGTGCACCGTTCGATGACGCCATTGCTTAAGCTTGTTTTCGTCGTGGAGCTTGTCATCGAATGGCGCTCGTGTGCTTCCTGATAAATTATTTTTTCTTTTTGCGAAAAATTCGCTGAACTTTGGAGACATCATTAATATAAATATAATTTTTATGGACGTTAAATAATAAATGGTTTTTGTAGGTCCGCTGCTCATTTAAACTCCACGGTTTGTACAATATCCGCTATTGGTCTAGATTCGACCAATCCTGTCGCGACACGAGTCGGCGATGACGTTTTACCGAATTATAGGAGTTTTTTTTAGCGTGTTTGTACGAATACTGTCGCAATTTTTTCGCCGTCATGTAGAAATCCGAACTATATGAACCCGTGTTATAGAAGGTCAACTGTAAAGGTAAATCTCCCGTTGAAGTTTTATACTCATTTACTCAAGAACCGAGTGGGTTTAATGAGAATTTTGTTTTATATAAATGAAACTAATAGTCTTAGATTGTAAAAATGCTGATAAATCAGAAGACCTTACAATCGAGTTTAAAAATCCAATACCTGTAAACAATTCGAAATTAGCTCCGAAATCAATGTCTATGGTGGTTTCTTGGCATAATGTCGATGAAAAATTTAATAACAATACCTTTAGATATTTTGATACAACAAAGT